GGTGAGTCGGAACAGGTGCCTAGAGTTCTTATTGATCTTTTAGTGAAAGAGAAGGATCAAAGCCTTTTCACCTGCAAGTAAAGAAGACTGTGATGATGAATTTGCTGAGAGAAGGGGTGGGTTGGTTCCATTTATCTAAGTGAGTGCAAATTTATATAACTTTACAGAGTAAGAGTTGTCATTAAGCCAAATGTTTATAACATGTATTTATAACATATAAATATATTTTTTGTGTTTTCCAAATAGATTGTAAATTTGCATTTTGTATAGTATTCTGTTTTTCTTTATATTTATTTTGTTGCACTTCAACAGCTTCAGACCATTTTGAAAGATTTAAAAAATAATTTATAGTTGTTAAGAATATACACAGCAAATACACAGGGTACACAGGGATGGGCAACTTGGACATTGGCTACCCAAAATGGGGGGGCTACAAAGGCAAGAAGCAACTGGCTTACAAGCTTTCAAGAGGGAGCCTAGATCCAGAGGGTGCAGAGGAAGGTGGAATCTCCACTGAGTGGTGTCCAACCTGTCTGGGAGGTGCTGGTGAAAGGAGATGGGGATAGCACTCATGTGGTACAACAGTGAATAATTACTATTAGGACTGACTGTGAAGGTTGGAGATGTAAAGGTAGACATTTTGTAGCAAGAGGAGGGGAGTGATTGATTTTGCAGTCTAGGAGTGGAGGTTCTTGGGACCCGTCAAGGGAGAAGAGCAGAGTGCGAGACCCTACCCAGAGAAGCAGTGATGCCAAAAATGGAGGTGGAGACGATGATGACGTGCAGAGATGGAGCGACTTGGAACTCTAGACCCATAGAAGGAGTGGGGCTGTGTGCTGACAACCAGGGGGCAGGTTTGCAGGGTATACCCTTAGGTTGGTTGATGATGCATGGAGGGGATTGTAACCATGGCAATGAAATGATATACGACAGATGAATGCAAAGATAATGTTCTCCTATGTAAACTATCACATAATTCACAATAAAACATTAAAAAAAAAAAATACGCACAGCAGAACATACCCCAATTCAACAGTTTTGACATGTACAATTCAGCAACACTGACTGCATTCTTTGATTTGTCTAATTGTTCTCACATTCCTTTTCTGAGATGTCCCCCCCCAATCAATATAAATTCACTGCCCGTAAGTTTGCAACTTCAAATGAGAAATGACTGCAAACACCACTAGTAATCAAAAAGTGTAACCTACAAAGTATGAATCTAGAAAAATTGGAAGTTGTCAAAAATGAAACAGACTGCATAAAGATCAATATCCCAAGGCACTGGTGTGCTGAAATGAACCTGTTTACTATGACAGAAATGACAAATTTAAGAAGAATGGCATCATATTCATTGTCAAAAAGAACATTTTAAGATCTAGCCTAAATACAACACTGGCAGTAATAGGATAATATCCATATGACAACAAGGAAGACTAGTTAATGTGATGATTATTCCAATATACTCCCTATAGTCTCAAATACATGAGGTGAGGTAGCTTCAGAAAGTTCATGGAAAAATTCCATTATCTTTTAATTCCATTTTTCTATTTATTGACGCCCCTTGCATACAGCAAGCATTTTATAAGTACTTATTTACTGAATGGGAAAAGAAACATTCTTACCTTGCCAAAGCTGCCTTTTCCAATAACTTTTAAGAAATCAAAGTCCATTGGTTTGGCACTGAAACAGATTAACAATGGTAAGAATCAGCTTCATAGAAATTAGAAAGAGGGTTAAATTTTAAACATTTCTTAGTACCCCACTTTATGTATATACTGAAAATATTTTATTGGGTTCTTGGTGAAAGTTTACACAGCACATTGGGTGCTCAGGTGACCCTGGTAACAACTTTGCAAACAGCATCAACATTCAGATAATTACCATTCTAGTTGTCCCATTTCCATTATTCTTGCTTACCACAACCTCATCTCTGCTCCAGGGTGAATGCTGACTTTGGTCTCAAATAGATGACTGTTTTCTTTTTCTTAATATGTATTTATGGGTGATATCAGATATTTTGTCCAAAAGTAAACTCAGGGAGTAGTTTAGTTTAAAAGTCACCTCAGGGCAATAGTCTTACGAGTCTCTCCCCGCTCTCCCGCCCCAGGACCATCTATTATGGCCCCAGTCAGAACAGTCGGTAGTGATAGCCAGGCACCGTCTAGTTCTTCTGGTCTCTGGACAGGTGAGGTCATGGTTCATTTTCTCTCTTTAACTCCAGAAGAATAGAGACCAATAGTTGTGGATCCAAGCACAAGGAAGACTTTGACAACTTCAGTCTTTTCTCCATTTGTTATTTATTGATCCAGTTGTGAGGATTTTCATTTTCTTTATATTTGGTGCAATCCATAATAGTATTTGATTCATCAGTAAGTGCTTCAAGTCCTCTCCTCTCTTTGCAGGCAAGGTTATGAAATCTGCATATCACAGGTTGTTAATGAGCCTTCCTTCAACACTGATACCACATTCTTCAAATAATCCAGCTTCTCAGATTATTTGCTCATCATACAGACAGAATTAAGTATGGTGAAAACATACAACCCCTGACACACTCTTTCCTGATTTTAAACCATTCAGTGTTCCCTTGTTTTGTATGAATGAATGTCTCTTGGTCTATGTACAGGCTCCCCATGAGCAATGAAAGGTTTTCATTCTTCACAATGTTACCCATAGTTTGTTATGACCCACACAATCAAATGCCTTTGCATTGTTTAAAAAAAAAAAAAAAAAGGCACAAGTAAACATATTTCTGGTATTCTCTGCTTTCAGTCAAGATCCATCTGATGTCAACAATAATATCCCTTCTTCCACATCCTCTTCTGAATTCAGCTTGAATTTCTGGCAATTCCTTGTCGATATACTGATGCAACTATTTTTAAATTATCTTCAGCAAAGTTTTATTTGCATGTGATATTAATGACATTGTTAGATGATTTCTGCATTCTGTTGGGTCATCTTTCTTTAGAATGGACATAAATATGGATCTCTTCCAAACTGTTTGCCAGGTAGCTGTCTTCCAAATTTCTTGGAAGTGCTAGTGTGTGCTTCTAGCACTGCATCAGTTTGTTAAGCCATTTCAATGTGTATTCCATCAATTCCTAGAGCTTAGCTTATTGCTAATGCCATCAGTGCAGCTTGGACTTTTTCCTTCAGTACCATCGGTATATGATCACACGGTACACCTCATGAAATGGCTGAACAACAACCAATTCTTTTTTGTGCATTTCATTTCTGAAGATTTTAAATTTTCCTAGATTCATACATGTACACATTCTATGTTCTGATTATTAATGGATGTCTGTATCTGTTTCCTCTCATGTTGAGTTGTGGCCCCTCAAAACAGGACGGTTCCAAAAGCTTTGCTCCATTCATGTTATTAAGATCAAGTCTACTTTGATGAGGCAGGTCTTCCCCCATTGTATTTTGAATGCCTTCCAACCAAAGGAGCTCATCTTCTGGCACTATCTCAGACAATGTTCTGCTGCTATTCCTAAGGTTTTGGTACCTAACCACTGAGAAATAGATGCCTCTCCTTCCTAGTCTGTCTTAGTTGGAAGGCTCTGCTGAAACTTGTCCACAACGGTGACCCTGCTGGTATTTAAAATACCGGTGGCACAGCAACACACAAGCCACCGCAGTACAACAAACTGACAGCGGAGTGGTGGAAGTTGTTTTAGGAAGTGGGAAGTTATTACACTTAAGTTTCAATTTCCTTCAATTCATATATTGAAAGAAAGTCCATTCAATTCATATATGGTGCATAAAAATTAGTGGGAAAATAATTAGATGTTTTTCTTCTTCAAAAACCTGCTCTTTGGACTACTGTGTTCTTTAATGATATGCTGGGATACTGATATATATATATATTTTTAAATACATGTAACAGTGAATACAAAACCATGCAAATCTCTGAAACACAGTAAATAGGCTATCTGATATTAAACTCATGTCCCCAACGCTAACTGAAATCACATTTCATTCTTGTGCTGCCTGACAAATTCAGTGTTATAAATGACAAAAAGAAAGCTCAAAATCCAATTTACTCCCTGCCAGTGACTGTCCATTTCTCTGTTCTCTTTTGCAACAAAACTCCTCAATTAAGTTGTCTAAACTCACTGTCTTTACAGGCTGTCCTCCTTTGGTTCTCTCTTGAACCCTTTCCTCTCAGGCTCTTATAGTCACAACAACATGACACTGCTCAGAGAAGTCAATGATGACTTGTACATTATCCAGTGCTCACTTCTCATTCTCCCTGAATGTGACCTAGTGCAACATTACCAGAGTTGAGTACACTGTCCTTGAAATATTCTTCCTCTGACTTCAGGACAACATATTCCTAGTTTCCCTCCTATCTTAGTGACTACTCTCCCTGTCTCTTTTGCTGCTGCATCCCTGATTTCAGTGTTCAAGTGTCTCTGAAGTGTGCCAGGCCCTGGTCCTTGGACAATTTCTCTTGTCTGCCTATGCTCACCCCCAAAGCAGACAAAAAAAGGAAAGGGGAGGAACAATGATAAAAGAGGGAGTATTTTAGAATTAATCTACCATGCCTGTCAGGACAATCATAGGTAAGGGAGAGAAATATTACCTTGTTCTTCCTACCCATGGCCAATATCACTAATCCATCAGGACACTCTTTCAAACTTAAGCCAGAAATGACCCTGCAAGTCCTTCCTCAAATTCTGTGTGCTAGGGATTCACTTCCAATGAATTCAAGATAAAACGTGTATCTGCCACTGCTGGTCTTCAGCATTTCTCAGACTGTGTCCCTTATGTTAAAGAAGACAATCTTTCTCCTGTGATCAACTACATATGAGACTATGGGAAAGACTGGCTAAACCAAATTTGATCGCCTTTCATAACCTCATGTCCATCATGACTCTTCTGTAACAAACTGGCTGACAGCCAGGGGCGCTGGCAACCCTAAGCACCAGGAGATTGTGAATTAGGCCTTCTCGGATGCTTTTCTCAGAGTATCCCACAGGACTGATGGTCCTCTGGGAAATGCGGTCTACTGATTTTCTAAACACACAAAACCCAAGAAAAGTGGCAATGGCAAAAATAGCAGAACTCAATGAGCAACTTTTAGATTAAAAATTCCTTAGAGCTTCACTAAAGCAATGAAAAGCTAAAGTAATAAATTAGCCAAGCATATGAGAGTACAATATTCACCCTAAGTATGGTTATATTTCTTCTGCTTCCAGTTAAATTGGCATAATTATGGGCATCCACAAAACTTATCTAACTAGTTAAAGGATTGTTTGAACAAATTAAACTTACTGAGGATTTCCAGATGGTCCCAGGTTGATGTTCTGTGAGGTAGAATGTAGCTGTTTGGATAGAGAAAATCAAACAAAAACAGAACAATAACATTCTTATTGGAGCTTATTAGTCAATGAATATTTTTAAATAATAAAGTATATTATATATAATGGCCCATAGATATTTGGTATATTACTATGTTATAGAAGCCTAAGACCCTAATTCTTAATCAATTTACAATGTTGCTTAGAAACAATCACAATCAATAAAAATTAAATACTTTTACTATGATATATTCAAGAGCAGCTTTAAGGGAAAAGATAAGCAAGAAATCAAGCTCAAAGGTGGCAAATAAATTTTGGGCCGTTCTTTGGAAGCAGTAGAAACTGAAATCAAAATTTAAGAACACAATTACTATTACATTTTTAAAATTGGCTCAAATTTCAACATTTCAAATAACAGCTCATTAAAGACAGGAAATGATGATTCTAAATGCAAGATTTTCAGCTTTAATTTGATGTTTGCTGTTGTTGTTATTAGGTCCATCAAGTCCATTCCAACTCATGCTGGCTCCATTTTGGAAGATCACCAGGGCTGTATTCTGAGGCACTTCTGGGTGGGTTAAAAATGCTAGCCTTTCAGTTAGCACTCAAGTGCTTGATTGTTTGCACCACCCTAGGACTCCAATTTCCACCGTCAATCAGTTTGTCATACTGTGGTGGCTAAATGTGTTGCCATGATGCAGGAAGCTATGCCACTGGTATTTCATATACTATAAGGGACACCCATGGTGGACAGGGGTCAGTGGCACTTCCAAACTAAGACTAAGAAGAAGGAAGAGGCAGATGACTTTCGAAAAATTAGCCAATGAAAATCTTATAAATAGCAGAATACTGTCTGATACATCACCACAAGATGACTCCTCAGGTTGGAAGGCACTCAAAAATCAGAACTGAGGAAAAGCTGCCTCCACAAAGTAGAATCGATTTTCAGTTATGAGGGACGGCTCAGAGTTTCATTCTGTTATATATGTGAGCTGGAAATAACTTGAGGGTACCTAACAACAACAGAACTCCAGTTTGATGTTAGGTAAACTTATTTCCAATACAAATACATACCAAGAATGTTTTTCATTCTGACTGACGCATTATGTGCTGTTTGGTAGATTCAGGACAAGCTTTTCTCTTTGCAACAATTAATAATCTAAGTTTAGTTCCTGGTATTAATTATGAAGCAAATCTTTTTAAAAAATGTTTCAAGTATCTTTATTGGGCAAATTGGTCAGTTTAGCTCAAGCAAATTATTTTTGCACATGCTTCACTTTTCCTAATAAAAGAATCTTTTATAATATCTTTTCTCTGAGAGCATTCCTTATCTTGTTCATCTCTGTATTCCTCAATCGGCATAACATGACTTACATGAAGTACAGTACTTGACACATTTTTTTTTAAAAGACCAAACTACATTATGTACTTGAAACTAATTCAGTTATCTTACATTCACATGTTTTTTCACTGATTTATTGACATACCTCACAAGTAGTGTTAATTTTACACTTTACTACACATCCAAAGAGAATAATGTGTACAGCTTCCCTCTAAGAATCAATTATAGTAAATACAAATGTTTTCTGTGAATTAAGTGGTAACCTATGGCCTCCAAACCATTTCCAAATTTCTGGGACTGAAACAAACAGCTGTACAATTCCACTTCAAGTAGAGACTTATACATCAAGATTATTTTTAAACAATAAGACAATTCTGCTTAGGACAGAAAATTAAAGACACAGAATTTTCAGTTTATTCCTCCAGTTAGAACACAGATATAATTTCTCTTAAGTGTGTGACACTTATACTTTACACTGAATCAAAAATTTAAAATATTTCTCTTTAAGGTTAATAACTATCTTTGAAATTAAGCAATACTAATTAAGTGGGTGTTTTGGTCTGTACATATTCATATTTCATTGCTTTTATAAATAAGATAGCCATATTTTCTCCACATTGCCTGAGAAACTCTTCATTACAAGATGTGGGTTCTAGTACTAGATTTTCTCATTAGTTATATTGCCCTAGTTATAGTTGTTAAGTGCCGTCAAGTTGGTTCTGATTCATAGCGACCCTGTATGGGGTTTCCAAGGAGCAGATGGTAAGTTTAGACCTGGTGCAGTACAGTGCTTATCCTATAGTGCCACATCAGGACACCAATATGGCCCTAGACAAGCCATTTTATATCTCTGCCTTCACCTATATCAAATAGGAGCAATAATACCTTTCTTAAACCTACCTTATAGGTAAGTAGACGTAAGATTTATATGTAAACAATTTGCTAAAGTTACTACACAGTCATACCTGTTTTTTAATATTTGGTGACATTTTGTCATCTAATCAAAATAAAGATTTTATACTTTCAGAACTACAAAATGCTGTAACTATACAAGGTGCATCAAAATGGCAAGGTGGTTATAATATTATTCCATTCATCCACATTTTCATTTAATTACATTGTGGTGGTGGGTGTGTGCTGTCGAGTAGGTTCCGACTTATAGAGACCCAGTATAGGGTTTCCGAGGCTGTACATCTTTATGGGACCAGAAAGTCATCTTTTTCCCACATTAATTACACTAAGAAATAATAATAAAAATAACTGAAGTTTCATAAAAATAACCCCTAATAATTTTATATTAGGATTTATTGCTCACATTGATACACTATTGTTGTTGAGTGCCATAGAGTTGGTTCTGACCTACACTGACCCTGAACAGGGTTTCCAAGGAGCAGCTGCTGAACTTGCACTGTCAACCTTGCGGTTCAAACTAACTTTGCAGTCCAGTGCATGAACCCACAGTGCCACACCAGTACTCGACAGTGATGCATAGCCTTCATCAACAGAATGCACAATGCCCTTGATAGAGTTTTACAAAGTTCCTCCCAACAAGAAAAGAGAAATGTATTTCTTTAAACCATCAGATGGTTAGAAAACTGGCTGACATCAACCAAAATGAGAAATAAAGCTCTAAGCTATAGATCACTGACCCTAGACACATTTGTTGTTGTTGTGTGCTGTTGTTTGTTTTGACTCATAATGACCCTGTATAGGGTTTCTGAGGCGTAAATCCTGACAGGAGCAGAAAGCCTCATCTTTCTCTTCAGAAGTGACTGGTGGGTTCGAACTGTTGACCTTGAGGTTAGCACCTCAATTCATAATAACTCACTATGCCACCAGGTTGCTCTTAGGTACCAACAAGTTTCTCCCAGCCCATAGTGACCCTATGCACAACAGAACCAAACACTGCCTTGTCCTGTGCCAGCCTCACAATCGTTACACTTGACCCTATTGCTGTTGCCACTGTGTCAATCCAGCTTAGATTTTTTTTTTCCAGACGCTCCACTTTCACAAGCATAATTACTTCTCCAGGGACGGGTTCCTCCTGATAACATGCCTGGAGCACAAGAGATGTATATGAGGTGACTGAAAATACCATGTCTTGGGTCAGGCACTTCTTAGTCCCCAAACTGGCATCTTTGTTCTTTAACACATTGAAGAGATCTTTTGCAGCACATGTGCCCTATGCAAAGTGTTGTTTGATTTCTCGATGGCTGCTTCCATGAACAGACAAGTGGTGTGTCTTTATTGGCTTCCGTCACATGGGGCAATAGACCCAGTGTTTGGCAGGCAACAATATAAATGGATTGTCAGGCATCAGCCACCACACCAGGTGCTCAAACAATTAGACTGTCCATAGACTTTTGTCAAATTTGGCAGCCTAATCTAGATCTGGAATTCAAAGACAGTGGAATAGTTCCATGAATTTTTTGAAGTCTATGTGCTCTTCAAAGATCAGGTGATAGAACAAGTCAAGGATCCCTCACATATACCTAAACCATCAAGATCTAGATGATTTCCAACCACATCTGGCAAATAAGAACCAACTTTTTTTCGGTTGTTAATGTTTCACCTACACGGTTTTTGAAATGGACTGTTATTTTAACTTCTGACTTGTTCTGAGTCAGAGCTGGCTGGCTCAGCAGTCAGCTACGCTACATCCTGGCTCCTGCACGGTTCAGTGAGGACCAACCTCCTGTGAGCCATGCCACCAAGAGCCACTGAAGCACAAGATGAAAAAATGCATACGGACTCTGGTTCATTAAATGACATTTCCTTTGCTATGTCATAATTGTAATGCATGAGCAGTCTTTTATGTTTATTACAGTGTTCCATAGAATCTGACAACATAAACCCAACTAAGTTGTAATTTCAATACACTTTTTCTTTTAGTAAGTGTGCATAAAACCTAATCAATTTTCCAACTGAATGAGTTCTTCTCATAAATGAGGGAAGAGAATTGTAAATATTAAACAACGGCAGTTTGTCCCTTGAGTTATGTTACTATGTAGGGTGACTTAATTATTATTTTTGGCAATGATTTTTTCCCAATGGAGCACATTTTAGAAATCACAGTATCACTGGGATATATAATTAGAAGTTTTTTTTTATTATATTTATAAAAATAATATTCTACTGTATTTTAAGGAACTCTGGTAGCGTAGTGGTTACGAATCGGACTGCTAACCTCAAGGTCGGCAGTTTGAAACTACCCGTGGGAGAAAGATGAGGCGGTCTGCTCCCGTAAAGATTTACAGCCTCAGAAACCCTTTCTACGGTCACTATGAGTAGGAACCGACTCCATGGTACTTAACAACAACAACAACAACATTGCATGTTAGCTGAAAGAATACATAGCAAATTGGGTTCCCCTTTAACAATTTTTATATAAACTGCTCATGCCGTTGGTTAGTTTCCACACTGTGTTAATATTCTCATTATTACCACTGTTTGTTCTGTTTCCACTGATCTAGCTTCCCTTTCCCTCCCTGCCTTTTCATCTTTGCTTTAAGGTAAATGTTGACGGCTTGGTTTCATATAATTCATTGTTTAAGGGAACATATTGCTCACGGGTGATACTGCTGCTGACTTTATAAGCCAATCTACTATTTGGCTAAAAGGTGACCTGCAGAAATAGCTCTAATTCCAAGTTCAGAGCATATCTTAAAGCATTAGTCTCAAG